GACAGGGAGAGTGCAAATCAGAAAAGTACAGAAGATGATAAGGACCAATTTTGTCAACGCCATTCCTGTTCTTGTATTTGGCATTCCCAGTCTTTTATAAGTGTATCTTCATTCGACGAGAACTCTTAATCACAACCCAAAATACTACTACATAACATATCATAATGGCCACACACGGTATAAAAAAAAAGCCAAACCGAAAATGTATGACTTGGAAAATGTCAATCGACCTTTAACACAATACAAGTCAACAATTTTGTTCGTAACCAAAACGCCCCCATTTGGCAATTAATGTAGGGAACAATATGATAAAAGCCAATATCTAATAATAATGGCTGCAGTGCCCCGTTTGTTATAAATTTTAGTATAGAGATTCTGGTGGGCAATAAGAATGTAACGGTTGATAGAAATCGCTGTGACGGAGAGTAAGGATAGTCCACAAGTAAAGTATTGCATGAATGGATAAAAGACACACAGGGCGTCGCCATATATCCATCTCTGGAGAATATAATCGGAAGCGCTGAAAGGGATACTAACGACATAATACAAGAAATCAACAACACTCAGACTGATGATAAAAGCAGCAGTTGTAGAACTACGTACTTGTGAACTTTTCGCGAGGGCAACAATAGTCAATAGGTTACCACAGAGACCAACAATACCCAAAAGAATAATGAGAGAAGTGGCAAAATACAATACAATGGTGAAATCATTCACAGAACTTACTGTTGAAACTGAATCGTTATAGATGTCACTGTCTTTCATTATTGTTGGCAAATTGATTTCCATTTGGATCGATCTTTAACACAATCTGAAATGCAATCTGAAAGATCCAAGTTCAGATGATACCAAATAATGTAAATGGAGCTACCACACCAGAATAAACAGATTAACAGATAGAGCATGTACAAACCTAAGGAATTTCACAGTTGAATACAAATTAAATCGCATAACTGACTTTGGTGCTACAAGAAGCCAGTGAACATTTTTTGAAACTACAATACATCTGTATAACTGTGGGGAAGAACTTTGCTACAGATTAAACTCAAACAAGTTGATGAACCAATTATCAAATATTGAAGGTGTCTGTTACCGGGCGTCTTCTTCCTGTATAGTACTGGATATAATGACAACAATATATTTAGGACCAAGTAATGTTACGTAACAAGAAAATAAAAACTTTCTTATTTCCTGCTTAGACTGGTTGTAACACACAGTGCCGGAAACAGAGGCGAATTAAAAATTATTCGGCTTCCGAGCAAAGAAAATTCTTGGGCCCTTTCAAATTTCATTTTCGATTCTAATTTGAGAACAAAAATGCATTTTTTTTCATTTGAATCAAACAATTTGAAAAATGGAAGATACGGAACTCAGCATATAATCCCTTAACCTATATTTTACACAATTTAAAGCCCCCCCATTGGCACAGCGGTATATCCGTGGTCTTACAACGCTAGAAACCGGGTTTCGATACCCGTGGTGGGCAGAGCACAGCGAGACCATTGTGTAGCTTTGTGCTTATTTCCAACAAACACAATTTAAATTTTTACTAGAACAATATGTGAATGGATACTTAAGAAAAGTATGTTTAACTAGTATAAAAGCTAGTATAAAAATGACGGGAAACCAAATCCTACCAAATTTAAATCCTGCAATATGCAGTTGCTACTTTGCCGTCTGTAAACAGACATAAAAAAATAAAGGGCCTTTTAGCTTCGGGAAACCAAGGCCTATCATGAGCAATATTTCCTTTACCTAAAGAATGTCTCTTCCCAGCATTCATTGATCGGTTATTTTCTAACCACATCAACTGCATTATTACAATAGTTCTCTTAAAACCACATTTCTTGTAAATACTCGACCATCGTTCAAAAACTTCTCTTCATAACAAACGGCAAATTAATTTCACTCGGTGCTAAATAAATCCCTGGTAAAAAACTCCCTCCTTGTCAGGTTTTTGTATAGCAGAAAAAGTGCCGAAATTAGGAGTTATTTACGCCTGTTTTAGCGATTGAATTCAACTAAAATGGGAAGGGGCAGTTAAAAGAGGAAGTATCATAGGAGAAAAAGAAGAATTGGACTCGTGTAACTCACGAAATTCGGAAAAATCGAGCGTGATCGACTGACTGACCGACCGACACTTGGCTTTTATGATTATGATGACTTTTTATGCGACTCATGTCTTATTAGGGACCTTCTAATCAATAAAGTAATAGAGGCCATGCGTGGCCTAATGGTTAGCATGATCAAACTATGAATCCAAAGGTTCATAGTTCATATCCCATTAACGCAAAAAATTCCTTTTGCACTTTTAGGCTATGGTTACGCAAGGAAATTGACGGTGAAATTCCACTGTTTGGGCAGATAAGAGTACACCAAGATTTGGTAGTGGCTGCTTGTATCCCCCTTCTAGTCCCTCAGTTTAAAATTAGAAACAGCTACGCGTTGAGAACCCTTCTTTATTTTTGTGAGAAAATCTGAAGGAGACAAATAAAGTCAAGAACCCAGAAGTAATTTGGGTATATAGACGTGCTCAAAATGTCCTGTCGGTAAATCTAAGACTTTCTTTGCAATGGTGATATTTTACTTAAACGTAGACAAGAGACTTCATATTTATGTGGGTTCATGAATACAAGTATCCAACAAACTATATCGTAAAAAGAAAAGAAAATTGACTTTGTTTAATCTGCTTGAACAGCAGATTGTTACCTGTACACAAGTTTTTGATGTACAGGAATAACGAAAACAAATCTTTCAGTCATACATTTTATAAAACCATTTTCTTTAACA